CCCCCCCCCCCCCGTCAGTCAGAGCATTGTAGGGATTGGATGTCAATTGTCTATTAACGACTACGGCACTCGTTGAGTTAACCCCTCCCCGCAGGCATGCAAAGCATGAGAGTACCCCCCTCCCCGCGCGCGCGCCCGCGTCCAGGGAGCGGGCAGAGACGCGTTCGAGGCGGTGTACGAGTCTGAGGACAACTTGGGGAACCATGGCGTTCGTCTATCGAAGGAGATCGTTAAGGTGGCCGGTCGTGCGATGGAGAAGAACTTCACCTCCCTGGGGCCGTACGTGCTGCCCATCTCGGAGCAGTACAAGGTGGTGAAAGCTCTCGCCCTCCGCAAGGTTAGTGTACTGTGCGGTAGTTGGTGCTATTGAAACACTTGAGAAGTCCGTCGTCAAGAAATTGATCTAGCCTCGAAGAACTCAATTGTAAGCTAGGTTAAGATCCCACCCCAGCTTCGGCGAAAACTAGAGGTTTTAAGCGCAGGTGTTCACTTTAGTGTACCGTTTGCATTGCTGTCTGTGATAACGGAAGGCGTCCGCATCAATTGGACCGGTACACGGAGGTTTAGAGAAGGTTCTGATGAATGAAAACCGGAAGTTTTTTTTTCTTTGAAGACGGCGACAACCACCACGACCGCGATGTGCATAGCAGTAGCAACAACCCATGTTTATCGTCTCAGAATATTGGAAATATATCTTGGATTGTTGTCAAAACATTTGCGCGCGAATATCTGCCAGAGGAACATTTGAGCATCGCTTTTATGCGCAAAAATATCTTACCGTGCGTGTGGTTCTCTTGGAATGCATCAGAAGTGCGGCGAGAATCGTGGTGTACAAGCTACTAAACGATTTGTGAGAGAAAAACCACAAATGCGTCATGGAAACTGAATGTAACGAGCTCGCGAAGGGCTCCCTACAACCCTTGATGCCCGCCAATATGTGGTGATAGCGCTCCGGGCGTGAGAGAAAAAACGTTCTCGGTGTCGAGAAGAGACCAAAACGTGCGTCAGCGCTTCCCAACGGCAAAACGTAGGCCGCTCGAGAGGAGCCGTGAGGACGAAACTGTCCAGCTCTCGCTCGTTAGACAGGCACATCGTTGTGCGCACAAACTTGTGGACACAACGTTTTCTCCGGCCTACTTGTTCACTTGAATATAGAGGGCTTCCTCCTCCGTTACATCGAGTTCACAGCAACGTGCCTCCCTGCCTGTTGAGTACGTCCATTGCTGAACCACGCACACCCGCATGAGAGCCGTTATGGAGAAGACGCCCAAGAAGACAAAGCATGAATCGATGGGCTAGAGGACGAGAGCTGGATAGTATTGTACTCACGTTTTCTCTCAAGCAGCCGAATTCTTGCCGTTCGGAGACACAAACCACGATGTCTCGGTGCCCTCCAAACCACCCGTCTGTTTGTTGTATTGTGCACGCTTGACGAGCTCCTGCCATGTGTCAGCCTGCAAAACGTTGACACGGTGACTGTTGGGTCGTCCGGATCCCTTAATGAGCTTGCTACTTTGAGTGTGCGCTGCGCATTGGTTGGTGTTTAGGACGGAAGGGGCGGTCGGCTACTAATCTCGCCGCTCTTGGAAAATATTTTCGCGACCTGCCCCATTTCAAAATGATTGTCGAACACTTTGTCGAACGAGCGACTCTTGCCCCATTTGAAAATCTTGGGGACGATTTTGCCAAAGTTTTTCTCCCATGAAAAGTGAAACAAATCTTGTTCCGCGAATCTTTGAAAATCTCGACATTTCCGCAAAGATTTGGCGGCCATAAACATGGGCCTAACAACAACTAGATTTATTCTTTTACCCGCTTGTTCTACATAGTCGTACGCTTATTCTGAAAGTCTCGTGGCTGTCAGGTTTCCTTGACTTGGTCCGCACTCGAGCGGACGGTGCCGCTGATTTGCTCCAAGTTTGCTGTTTTGTTTTCTTGGAACTCTACTACCGTGAGAGCACGAGAGAAGTCTGGCATGGTGCTGTTACTAGTGGCAGATTTTCCGGGACTTGCTGGTTCCGCTTCTTTGCGTAAAATAAGGTGGTATCATATGTGGTATGAGTGAACATGAGTCATCACGCATCTTGTTTCGTGCCCTGTTGTACTGTGTACGGTATGCGTTTGGTTCCCTTGTTTTCTGCTACAACTAGGTGACGAAGGCGCTCAGAGAGATGCTGGAGAAGCGCAAGAGCTCGCTGGCCAAGAAGGTGCCGATCATCGCCTACTACCAGCCGGACTTCAAGCGCGGTGAGAGCGGAGTGCACACTCTTATTATGCCCTTCGTTGTCATCTCTTTTTTGTTTTGCTGCTTCGCCGTTTTTTGTTTGTTTTGTGGCGTCTGCCACGTACGGTTGCGACAAACGTGTGTATGGTATGAGGTGGTTCCCACTGTCGATTGATTGGTCTTCCTTCAGATTCTGCCTTGTTGATGTCTTCCAGGAGGCATCTGCGGTTAGTATGCATGCACGTCATGCCCCCCCCCCCCCCCCCCCCCCCCCCCCCCCCCCCCCCCCCCCCCCCCCCCCCCCCCCCCCCCCCC